TTATGCACCTATTTGTCTTCAGTGATGGTGTCAGGTAGGAGAGCATCATGGAATGCCAGTTTAATAGAACAAATTATTGTGCATTGAGGGAGTATTTGAGTGCAGGCCCAATGTCCATCTGCTCCCAAAAAGAGCTTTTAGAAGCAATTAGAGTAGAACAATTTATAGACACTTAAAAATACACACATTTCACAAGGGACAAAGATCAGAAGGGATGCTACGTTGTTATTATTATTTTGTAGAAACAGAGAGCCATCAGAAGGGAAATCCAGGAGACCACTAGAGCCTGTGTAGGAATTAACTCATGGTCTAGACCAGTGGTTCTCAACCTGTGGGTCGCAACCCCTTTGGGGGTCAAATGACTCTTTCACAGGGCTTGTCCGATTCATAACTAGCAAAGTTACAGTTATGGAATAGCAATGAACATAATTTTATGCTCCCTAGAAGTGGGGCTGACCAGTCTTGGCCTCACATATGCTGGACTTGTTATCAGGAGGGATCTGTCCCTAGAGAGGGACATCATGCTCGGTGAAGAAGAGGGACAGAGAACAAGAGGACGGGCCTCAAGGAGACAGACAGACACAGCGGCTGCAACAGAGGCTCAGTCGGAAGGCGCACGGTGCAGATGGGCACAGCCCAGTGGGGGCTGGTTCTGCTGTATGCACGGGCACCCAGAGTTGGCACTGACTTGGTGCCACCAAACAAACACCTTGCTTGTTTATTGTTTTTTTCTAAGGATGATCATTTTGTTTGCATTTTAGAAACAGAAAAAAAACAAAAATCCCTGCTATCGAGTCCATGCCGATACCTGGCGCTGCTGTAGGACGGAGCAGAGGGCTCACCAAGCTTTGCAGCAGCAGACTGCCGGGCAGTGCTCCAGCACCACGCCACCTGCTTGAAACATAGTCGTCTCCGCTTTTCTAAAGTGCATTTTATGTTCCATTCGTTTGAGGAACCAGGTACACATTTGTACCTACTTTTGCTACCCCAAAGAGGAATTTTACTTTTAGGAAGAAAGAGAGAAAGCAAAACTAGTGTTCTACATTTGTTCTGCAGCAGACAGTTACAGGGGCAGCGTGCAGCCCGCGCAGTAAGCGTGGCATGACGAGTAAGAGTGGCATGACGGAGTTCCTTCCCGGGCACTCCTTCTTCTGACAGCAGTTCGGTTCAGGGAGAATCTCCTAGGAATTGTGGGGGAAAGTGATTCTACAAAGCCGAGGTCAGCCTGTAGTGTTGGGTTAGCCCTTGGGCCAGAGTGGAGTAAGGCCAGGCTGTCGATTAGGTAGAAGGTAAAACCTGGATTTTAATCTAAACCGCTCCCACTTAGTTGGCAAGCTTCTAAAGCTCACTGTGTTTCATTTTCTTCATCTCCAAAGCCAGCTTTAGGATACCCACCTGACCCACCTCACAGGCTGCTGTGGTGCGGAGCTAATGAAATGGAAAATGTTGGTCAAGCACGAAGCAGGGTTCAAACACAGAGGGTTGTTATTATTGCTCTGTGGGGATATGCAATGGGGAAGCAGGTGGTAGGCTTAGAGGAAATTCTAATAGAGAAACTGAAGTCGGGTGCCAACATTCCTCAGCTGGCTTGACTAAATTTTTATGGGTGTCAGCTGTTAGGTGGCTCCCCCATTCCCTGTGTAAAGTGGCCAACTCTTCTGTTCACAGGGCCAGCTACATTTTTCCAGGGGAAACCCACTCTTTAATCAGACGGTCAGGCCTTGCCAGGGAGTCTGGAGTGTGTGCTCTGCCTCGTCCATCTTGGTTCTGTCTGATGGGGCCATGCTCTCTGCTTGTGCTGGTAACGAAAGGCATCAGGATGGGATAATGGGCCCAGTACCAGTTTCCATTGAGCCAATTCCGAATAGAACCTGTGTGTGCCACAGTAGAACCTTGCTCTCATTTCTTGGAAAGAGATCATCAGACTCTTCTTCTGCGAGGCAAGGTGGACTTGATCCTTCCAGCCTTTTGTGGTTAGCACATAATCACACTAACAATTTGCTTCCCCAGGGATTCCACATTGTAGGTTGCTCCTTATATTTGATTTTT